AGCTTGGACACCACTAGAGAAAACTCTGAAGTGTTATATAGATATTAGGTGGTATTATCATTTCAGGTGCCTTTGTAGTATGGCATTGTAACCTATCATCCAAACTGTGACACTTGAGAATCAAAAAAATGTTATGCATAATTACACTGGGACAAGAAGCCTAAATTAGGACCACCTTAGACAAACCAGGGTTTACAGTCACACTAATTTAAACTCACTCCTCAGTGCCCCACTACCCTTAAATCCTAACCAGAAATAGCATAATGGTGGCTTAATTCTAATAATTACAGTTAGAAAACAACAAAAATACCTTAATTATGCAATAATAATATGATTCCATAAGAATAAGATATTCCTTGATATATAGACCAAGAACGATTTTGTAAGATGATTGATCTAAAAAAAGAAAGACTATATTTTGATTATTTAGTCAAAAGTATCTGAGCAGTCCTTCCAGGCCTCTAAAGACTGAGAATCCCTACCTCTGGAGAGTTAAAAGATAGAAAGAAAGGTCTATCTTATGTGAGACACTGCATACTAAAGTTCTACTTGTTACAGCATCTAAGCCAATAACGTTAATATTGTGGAGAATATCAAACATCTATTTTTATAACAACGACAAAAAGATACCCCTTGTGAGACTCTTTTCCAAGGCTGAAAGAAAAACAACTTCCCCAGGGATGCAGATTGAAAGTTTTTATTTCTATTTTCATCCAAATTTGAACCTTAATGTCAGGTTAGCCATCGGGAAGGGCTTTGTAAATTCAGACTTCTGCCAAGATAGGGCCTTCTCCGACTATTTCTAAGAGAGCTAGGTGCTTTTAGAAGTCACAAAGCCTGGACTGTAAGCAAATAATGAGGAAAAGTAATAATCCTACATGAGCTTAGTATACTATCTACATAATTATATGATCTGATAAAAAGTTCAAATTAAGGCTCTTTACATTCCTGAAAGTCTAGCTCCCATGGCCTTTATCTGAGGCTAAGACAGACTCAATAAAACTGCTTATGTGCATGTAATATGCATTTATCTTCTACCCCAAACACTATATAATCTCACTAAACGGGAGGGTTCTAAAACATTAACTGTGTTTACCTCTGCATGGAAGGATTGCCAGTTATTTTACGTGTCCTAGTCTTTCTTCTTCATGTTTTCTCATTGAGAATACAGTACTTTTGAAATTATATTAAACAAATACTTTTGAAATTATTTTTTTAAAAGGTCTTTAAGAAAGATCATTAAAATATGTACATGGAACTTTCAGTTCTGGTCCAGCATATAAGAAGCTGGAATACTCCACTGTATCTTAAAAGCAAGTAAAAGCTGAACAAACTTAATGTGTGTGTGTGGGTGTGTGTATACACATAGCTACAAATGAATGAATTAAAATAGAGAGCATAGAAAAGATACACACCAATTTCATGAAGGGATG